TAATTTGCATTGAATTGAGAAAATCTCAATTCAAATGTTGCACAGTTGCTTTTTTGCTTCCTACTGTTGCTGAAATCTAGCTATACATGCGCAAACCAAAGAGATTACGCAAGTGTTTTCTGACTCTGGCTGTGATGTTACAGCCTCAAATCAGTGAAGCAGTTTCACCACTGGATATATTGCAATTAGTATGAGGTGTCATGCATCATGTATCAGGGCAAATTCAGTTCCCATAATTAATCCAGTTAATGGGTATGATCAAAGTGGTGGAGTCTGGACTCCAAACAAGGCCATGAATCACAAATTAACCAGCTTAATTTTCTACACACTCATTAGCCCGAGTCTTGCTGGAGGTCAGAGGTCACAAAGTGGCTTTGACACCTTAAATGGTCTATAACTCCCCTCTATTAAAGAGTAGACAGAAGTGATTAAAGGTAAAGTGTGTTTGATCTGATTTCATTAGTACAATAAGTCAACCCTCGCACAAGCCCTGAAGAATAAACTGCAGGTTATATGAGTGTAGACAAAGTTGATACAATTCTTCCTAAAAAAAACCATTATATTAAAGCCACAAGGAAGTGTAAATTGAGAAGATCAAAGCAGAAGTTATGGCAAGGTCACAATGAGCCTATGTTTCAGGTGACACTTAAAAGACTTTGTGTGAGTGAATGATGTGCTAAGAAAGAGTGCGACCGGAGTGTGCTTCAATAAAAAGAGGCAATGTGTGAATTCTCAGACTCATACACACACGTGTGCACCAGATGAGGTCAGGCCAGGATGTGTTCCAACTCCCTTTCTCTGACTTCTCTTTCTCTCTGTGAGAGCTTCTGAACCTGAACACATCGGTGAGACTTGAAAGCTTTAAACTTTCTTTTAAACCAGTCTTTCTGAATGCTGCTTTCTCAAGGTCAGAGGTCGTCTCCCACAGGGAGTCGTCTCTCTCTAAGCATTGGGCTGAGTCACCTGATGGAAAATAGACAGTGTCTAGAACATTTGCAGGTCTGAGACGGTCACTCTTATAAATATATCCATTCAGATGAAAAGCACAAGCATTAATACCAGATCTGCAATCTCAGTTAGAAAATTCTGATGGTCAAAGGTGGAGAGTGCGCTTGCATAAGTGAGTCTCTCTACACCAGACTATTTACATCCGCTTTTTTGTCCTCCCGGGAAGTTCCAGTATAATCTATTTCCACAATTATAAAAGACATGCTGCATTTAAAATGGGGTCATGTTCACTGCGTTTAAGAGAAGATTCAATATCACTGGCACACTTCTGTAGTGTTGACGACTTCTGAAGTCACAATTTTGTGATAGCTTGGAGTTCATGACTTGTGATGTGATACTGATGAGTCTTGATGTGTGGAATCCACAAACGTTCACTTTGCTGGTTGATGCTAAATGGTATTAGTGTCATTTTTAGCAATTTACCAGCATACCTGAGGATTTTTTGTTTGTTTGTTTGTTAAATAAGTTAAATTATATAGTCTTGCTCATTAGCTACTTATACTGGGCATCCGTATTTCCCAGTCTCAAGTGTTCTCATGATTTTAACCACTTAAACAATGGCCCTTAATCATCATAATTATAATAGAAAAAAATTTTTGTTAATGTACTATACATGTCTGTACTGTACTATATGTAGACTGGTTTTTAGCAAAACGTTCTAATAATGAACAACACACTTAAACTGCCAGTGTTTGAAACATAGTGTTTTCACATGTTTTTTAAAGTGCTATGAGTGCACTTGTTTCCTGGTCCATGTGATTTTTCATTGTGGTTTGAGTATTTGATTCATTCTGAGGCCATGTTATGTGGTCCTTTAGCTCCATTCAGGTCAGTTCGCACTTGACGCATTCTTGATGAGATTTATCGAAGGGTGTGAGACGTGCGTCACACACTGCAGTTATGCTTCCATTTTAACAAGTGTTTCAATCCACACCAGTGGCATTAGAAGCATGTAGAATTTGAGCTCTTGGGTTGCACAGTGCTTGTTACCATCTCTATTTTTAATCATAGAATGAATTCCATAAAATCCACTGGAATTGCACAATCACACTTTTCTTTTTCAGTCTGAATTTTCTATCCCTCATTTTTGTGGGGTTAAAAGCAAGCGCTTGTGTTAAAAGGAGGTGGTCTAGATGCTACTGACATTTCTCAAGAGACCTCAATTCAATTCATTTTTATTTGTATATTGCTTTTAACAATGGACACTGTCACAAAGCAGCTTTGCAGAAATATATAAATTCAGGATATAAATTTTAAATTTATAAATTTATCCCTAATGAGCAAGCCAGATGCGACGGTGGCAAGGAAAACTCCCCGAGACAATATATGGGAGCTTGAGATGAACCAGACACGAAAAGGTACCCATCTTCATCTGGGTGCACTGGATAGTGCAATTATAAATAATTCCCTTCTGTAACTGTGTACTACAAGGTCAAAAAGTGCAATTATATAACCAGGAAATTCATTATAGTTTTCACATTAAGTCTATTTTGTTGAAGTTATTAACTGTTCACTGATGGAGACTTGAGTGCAAAACTGTTCGTGGCAAATTGCAGTCCTAAAGATATCATAGCAATTATAGTCCTAAGACATTGTAGCAAAACTTTTAGTTTCAATTGCAGTCCAATGCCATCTTCATTGTTTTTAAATGGTACCATCCACACTAATCTCATGTATCTTTAGGCTGTCTATATGGGGCTATCTTCAGCAGCAGTGAGTGATTTCCAAGTGATAAGAACTCCAACCAGAAGTAGGGCATCAGGCTGGATCAGGCAGGTCCGGAGAGCAGAAGGGGTCAGGATCACTGATATCTCAGGAGAAGAACACTTGCTTGGTTCTTTCACAGGAGATACATTTTTTTATTCCTCTCCCCTTATTATTCCCCTCTTCTCTTCCCTTCCCTTCATTCCTTTATGATGTTGGGGGGTGTTTGGGGGAGATTTGTCTTAAGAAAAATCTGGCAACCTTGGAGGCATGAACTAAATGCAGGTAGTTTGCATCATCTTGATGTGGAGCCCAGAAACTCTACTTAAGCACGTGAGTAACCCAACTCTGAATACGCATAACATTCCCCACATAAATATTGACATAACTTTTGGACTAAATTTGACAACTCTGGTTTAGGTGGTGGCCCAGGGTTATCTACTGGCAAGTGAAATGCAATGATTGAGCAGGTGTATGTGAAATACAATGTAATGAATGTGAACAAAGTGGATCATTACTCTGTCATCCTTTTTTTCCCCTAAAATGATTTTGGAGGAAAAACTAAATGTAGATAAACTAAGCATACATTGTACAATCAAAATACAAATTGCACATATATCTTGACTACTATCATTCCCAGCTGTCACTGCTATACAGTGTCCACTGCAGTGCGTTCCCTAGAAAAAGCAGTGTTGTTATGTGCAATAAAATGTGTATAGATTTCAGCTCCAGTTTCAGGCGGTATTGTCCTGGAAAGCCCTTTGTTATGTCAAAGATTTTGTGTTAGAATAACATTCTCATAGTCTCATAGCTCCAGTGCAATCCAAAGTACTATTTTCACCAAACCATGTTAGTTTAAAATGTTTTGAAGAAAGATTTTAGTGAGAACAAGTCTTAATATCCAACATTCACATTATTCTGAGCAAGGACCCCAAAAGTAACACAGTGTAGTCAATTTAGTCATTTCTACTGTCATCTAACTGGCAGTGAAAGAATGACACTCCAAAATCAACTTCAGATGGAACATGAAACACAGACTATGAACTCTAGTGCTCTGTTAATTTTGGGCTGTGACTGTCATTGAGAAACGCTGAGCTATCGTGTGCATTTCTGGCACATGGCTGCACCTCCTCAGCCCCAGCTGCCACAGCAAGTGTGTGTGTGTATATATATATATATATATAAAGTGTGTGTGTGTGTGTTGCTGTGTGTGAGCTGGTCCATGTCCAAGTGGACATGTTGCCCTGAGGTTACTATTCCATACCACATCAAAGCCAAAATAATTATCAGTATTGGCATGTAGCATGCAAAGTATCTATATTGCTGATTACAGCACTGATTTATAGACTACTGTGGCACACTATAATGTGTAACTGGGCTGAAAGTGAAAATCTCCAGTCTTCTGTAAAGTGGTTGTAATCTGTACATTTGGACAAGATATGGCTAAATGGACTTGGATTTTTTGACCATACCTTGAAAATTGGCATGGATTTCTCTGTTGGCTCATGACTGGCATTGCGGTCTGTCCTAGATGAGAACACACAGGTATGAGCCACATGTGGCAAGGAGATGGTATACCATAGAAAACCACCCAGCTTGCAGCTGATTGTAGGAAACATGTAGCAGTCCACACACCATCTTAGATTATGCTAATTTAGGGAAAAGATTTTGACTTTGATTTCCCAGCAATCTAATGAGTTAAATTCTGAAAACTGTATTTTATTGGTTAATGGGTTTGATGTGGCATTTTTTCATACTTCAAAAAAAAATCAAAGAAAAAATATATCTATGCACTCACCTCAGTGCACCTGGAGGAGACAGACAACTACGGGTTAAGTTTTAGATCAGCAAAAAGCAGATAAACTGTGGTAAGAAAGTTGTTAAACTGGTTATTGCTTCATTTAATCCATATTTCCACATGAAAATATGTAGGCCATTTTTAGCACTAACTGTGTGGCAGTTCAGATTATCACGTCAACCCATTTTTGGGAAATGACTAGAACATATTTATTTCTGGATGAAAGAATGTTTTGTTGTCTAGCAGGCTAGTGTTAACTACCACTAAAGACTTCACTGCAGTGACTGTTGCATTTTTCATGTATACTTATTGTTGTAAGTTAGTGTTGTTGTTGTTGTTCTTTTGGCTGTTAGGGGTTGCTACAGCAGATCATTGGTCCGCATGTTTCTTTTGGCACAGGTTTTATGCCGGATGCCCTTCCTGATGCAACCCTCCCATTTTATCCAGGCCTGGGACCAGCACTGAGAGTACACTCCCAGTGGCTGCTTGGTTCCCTGCCTGGGAAATGAACCCAGACCGCAGCGGTGAGAGCGAGGGATCCCTAGCCGCTAGACCACCAGGGACCCATTGTTGTAAATAAGTGTAACTGCTTACAATTGGTTGAATTTCAAAGTATGCTATAATATTTTATTTTAAAAACAATTTTTACAGTAATGGAAAGCTAGCATTACCAGTAATGAATAAATCAATAAATGCTTCTAGATAAACTTCCTTTATACTAATTCTTACTTTTTCTATTAAGATTTTAAAAATTGGACTCAATGACATTTCCACCCACGTTTCTATATATGAACTCAGACACACCTATGTGTTTTGTGGTCTGTATATAGTTTGGTCTGAGGGGCTGTGATGTGATTGACAGAGTGTAGGACGAAGCTGTGAATGTTTTGGCAGGTGCAGAAAAGCCCCAGTAATGAAAGGAAGCTGAAGCAACTCTGACACCTGCTCTCTGAGCCATGCCTGGACACGCTCTGCCTTCTTGGCTCCTGATCACACTCGGCTTCCCTTATCCAGCAGGAGCGAGACCATAAAACCGATCGTAGATCAGACCTTTGGTTGAAACCACACCACACGGGATTGCAGTGCTGGTGCGTTTCAAATCAGAGATCAGAGACGGACAATGGTGATAATCACATGGCTTGGAAGTGCTGAATAAAATGCACACTTTCATATCCTGTGCTGTTGTTAATGTTGGCTTCTGCACTGCTGCTGTGTCTCTGTGGCCTGTGGGTCTTTGACAAGCTGCGCTCAGAACACTGAAAGGACTCAGACGAGAGGAAAGAACATGAGTGGGTGGATTCCATATTCGAATCCGTCACATAAGAGAGATGGAGAGACTGAGCGGGGAGAGACAGAGTGAATGAAATAAAAGCAAGACAGAAGTACAGAAATGAGAGGGACAGATAGAGAATGACAGAATGAGATATAAGAAAGGAGAGCCAGATAGAAAGAGAAGGATTAAAATCTCTCAAAGAGGAACAGGGAGAGAAAGTGGAGAACTGGATGGAGATACAGTGAATGATAGAGAAAACAAAAAATGGGATGAAGAGTGAGAGAAAGGGAGAGGATAAGAGAGAGAAAGGGACAGAAGGAGAGGATGAGAGTAAGAGAAATAGAGATGAAACAAGAGATAATGAAAGAAAGGAGGGAATTATAGACCAAGATAGAGAGAGGGAGAAGGAGATAACAGAGAGGTAAGAAGACAGTGATAGGGAGACAGAACCAGAGTTAAGGAAAGAGAGAGAGAGATAGGCAGAGTGTAAAAGATGGAGAAAGTAGAAAGAAAGAACACTGTGGAAAATAGATCAGGTGATGGGTTTCCAATCTTCAGGTTTGGTGAGTCTGTGCCCACTGCAGAGAACAGATCCCTGGTCCTCTTGAAAATGGTGGTTCCATGGAACCGTGGTGTGGCCCTCATCAGGTTTGGAAGACTGTCATGTTACTTCCTGTTTTAAATTTTGTGATGGCAGAGAAAGGAGGAGGTGAAGGAGGAGGAGGAGGTGAAACCCCCTGTTGATATATAAAACCAGACTTTTAGAACATCAGACCTTTAAGGTGAGAACTGTAATTGGCTCACCTTGCAAGTGCTTGCACTGAGAGCGTCGCGAAAAACACACATCTCCTGCCTGCCTGCATGGCTAAAAATAATCTTATACAAGAATGACTCCTCATCTGCAGGTATTCCTGCACGATGATATGCCGTGTATCAAAAAAGCACTGTTTTTCACCACTTGAGTGTTGGTACCAAAGAAAAATAATTAAGTGACCTATGGAATTGTGCAAATCGATCCACGGTTTGGAAGGAATTCTTCGATGCCAAAGCAAACCTGCAATTATGAGCCGCTCCCCAGAACAAGCCCAAAATCAGTCCTGGGTGTGGATTGAAATATTCAGACTAAAAATTTGGATCCTGGTTCGGGCCGTGACCTGTGTGGTGGGTGTATAGTGTAACGGTGTCACAGTATCCCCGCTACTCCAGACTAGAATATATCGCTGGTTAGGACAGCTTTGTGAATGAGCTCCAGAGCAGCTCAAAGAGAGAAAGTCTTCTCTTGAAAGGGAGCATTTCTATTGTGAGTCTGCTACACTCTCCTGGGTACATGGTGTCCAAAAATACAGGCAGCAGGAAATTCTCTGTGGGTGATATCATATTCTGTGAAATGCCAGAAAAGCACTGAAAAAGCCCTCTTCTAATTGCACATTTGACAAGCTTTCTCTCTCTCTCTCTCTCTCTCTCTCTCTCTCTCTCTCTTAACAACAGCAGACCACCATATCACTCAGCCCACACATCATCTGCATGAAGCATTTTACTTCAGAGTCAAGGTGTTGGAAATATGATAATTGGAGGATGGAGCAGGGGGTGAAGGGTGAGAGAACCCGAGGAGAAGAGAAGCAGAAAAGCATTATGAGAAAATGCAGTTGTGAAACTAGTTAAGACACAGATCTTTTAATAATTGATCAAAGCCTTTCACCCAAGCACAATACTGCAGAATGAAGGAATTCAATGTGAAGTGAGTGTAGCTTTATTTATGCACACACATATCTTATAGACTGTTACTTTAGGCTGTTTTTCACTTCTAAGAATTTGAAGAACCGAATTGCATTTGTGGGAAAATTATTCAAGTTAGCTTGTAGAATTAACTTGAAATGACAATGAGAGCTTGAAATGTGCTGAATATTGAATTTTAATGATAACCAGTGATAGCTAGTCATAACATTTAAATGTATCAATAGCTCAATCTATCAATAGTTATTTGTACTTTGTTGTACTTTGTTTGGACAACATGTGCTTAGCCTAATGCTGCATTTGACTAAAGTTCTTAACTCAGAATTTCCCACCTCCAAATAGGAAAAAACCAAAGAAAAAGCCCCCTCAACTTGGAATTCCTACTCGGAAAGTTGGGAAGTTCTCCACAACCCTGAGTTCAGCATATGATGTCATTTCAACATGGCTGTGCACACTATCAACAGTAAATAAAATAAAATATGACATTAAAAGAGTTTATAGTAGTATTTAATTTAGATTAATCAACATAGACACATTAGTTGGTTCAATTTATAAGACTGACCATATATTTCACTGTTTTGAGAAATTAAATGCATCGTATACTAATGTTTACTAATGTTAGCTTCACTCAGTTACCACAGGTTTTTTTTGCAAAGTTAGTACAAACATCCATATTAGGCATTGCTCATGCCAAAAAAAAAAAAAAAAATAAATAAATAAATTCATGTATTATCCATTCCTCACCTCATTTATTCAGAACCAGATAATAGAGTATTGTAGTTAAAATAGGAGAAACTTGCAGTCGAGTCACCCAATCCAACATCACTATCACAATGAATTATGGATTTTTCAATTCAACAAACTTTCCATCCACAATACATTTGACACTTGAATTATTCAATATTAGCATCAAACTTTGTCAAAATGATGGTGTCTTGCAAACACATGAGAATGCATGGATGAACACAAAAACTACTGATAAACATACTGCAAACTTACTGCATTATTTTTGGCCCAACTTACCCCATATGCAGTCAATTAGTCAAGAGATGTTTGGTGTCTGGTGTTTGCTACATAAAATTTGCACTTGACCTAAAAAGCTAATATATGTAGCTACCATTACTAGTGAAGCTTATAGCAGCAAGGATGGCTTTGTTAACTTTCATCCCTGCATTAACCCACATTGAGTTGTTCAGTAATTTCGATATCAATTCAATATCTATAAACAGGACAAAAGGGTGGTTATGCAAGTTTTGTGGACGCACAGTTAAATACATAACTACATTTACATTTACAGCATTTAGTACACACCCTTATCCAGAGCCACTTACAGAAGTGCTTTGTAGTCTTCATGAAAAACATATACTCATGCTAGTACAATTAGGTCAGGGTCCAAGAATATTATTAATTTAAAACCCCATTAGTGAGGAGTTTGAGTATGAAAATGAGTTGGTACAGCAACAAAACCAGTACAAATGAGGTTATTTTAAATGAGTAATCATTTAAGTGCTTAGTGAAGAGGAAGGTCTTCAGACTTCATTTGAAGACAGACAGTAACTCAGCTGTTTGGACAGCTCAGGGTAATTTATTCCACTACCAGTTCAGAGAAGAGTCTTGATGCATGTTTTCCTTGTACATTGAGAGGCTGTGGGTCGGGTCGAGCTGTGCCAGAGGCTCAAAGGGAATGTGGTGCAGCGCTGGTTTAAAGAGCTGATAAGGTAGGTGATGTGTCATTGGACAGCACCAACATCATAAAAGTTGACAACTTGAACTCAATGGTTTCTTTGGGTTAAGCATGCTTGCCAGTTGGCCAATACAACAATAGTTCACAGCTCCATTGCAAATTAAAGAACCAAACTTCAGACACTACATGTCTTGGCTGATCAAGTATATCTGGAGTTAAAGCAACGTTGTGTAAGATTTTAGTTAAACTATTGCTTACACATTTGAAACCAACCAACCAAAAAATCAGATTGCTGTGAACATTGCAAGAGAATTCAAAGAGAATATATGTGCAAGGAAAGCAAACAACACCATCAGTACAAGACTCTCTAGAGAAGAGTGTGTGTGAGGTGTGCAAAGTCGAGAACGTCCATCGCCTGCGGTCTCAATGCCCCTGAACAGCAGGAACACACACTTCTTGCAGCTTCTCTCCAAACTCTCCAAACTTCTTCTCCAAGCTGAAACTCCCTCACCACAGGCTCTTAGCCACAATCATCTCTCCTGCATTAGACCTGAGCCGGTGTGTGTGTGTGTGTGTGTGTGTTTGTATGCAACCATGGGGAACCTGTAGCAGCAGAGTGTGTGAAAGGTTGCGATTAAAGCTCGCTTTCTCTTGCCTTGTTTTCAGGGGAAGAATTAGTTTATATTTACACCAGTGACTCTGCCTCCAGCTACATGGCAACCTGGCTTATGTAAAGACTGAGAGAGGAGAAAAATCGATGAATGATGAACACATGCAGAATACAGTGAGATGGTGTGTGTGTGTGTATGTGTGTGTGTGAGATAGAGCAAGAAAGAGAGACAGAAAGAGAAAGAAAGTACACTGTACTGATC